TTCAGTGCATCGTGTGAATTTCTATTTGAGCCAAGATCAAACAAATAGGCCAGTACAAACATGAACAGGTTACACAGAGTTTGAATATAACAATGAAAATTAACAAAAGTTAATAAGAAACAAAGACACATATTTCATCGGACAGCCTTCATTCATATACGAGCCAACACAGACCCCAGAGCAGTCTTTAATCCACTCGACGACATGAGAACCTGCCAATTACTCATGCAGCCTTGAACGCTCACAAGAGCTTGTGGGTGGATTAGGAGGAAGCGAGAGAAGCTTCCAAGCTGCTCAAACTTCAAACAGACTGGCTGTCAGCGTCAGAGTGTGCTCCAGTTCAAACAAGTGTAACAAGCACAGGAGGAGGACACGTGTACGTGTCGGCCTACATGTGATGGATTGTGACCTGGTGTTGGATTTAGAGCTTTAGAGCGCTCACTTTGGAGCTAACGCTTTGACCTTGTAGTACAGACACTAATCTCAAAGTTAGTTGAGGATTAATTCTTCATTGACGATGCTAAAAAAACAAAGGCATCAAAACATTACTTGGAAAAGGGACAGAAATATGAAAATGGTAAATAAAAGTTTCTTCACTAATAATAAAACAAAAGCAAGAAATGCCCCCAGATAATGTCACACCTCAATATGCATTTTTGCACATTATACATTTATGAAATTCAGTATATATATAGTATTTTTATATACATACAAATAGAATCATACGTGTGTGTGTGTATATTATGGTATATATATATACACAACATAATTCGTTTAACTTTGCACATTGGAATAGTTGTTGTTTTTTTTTCTCCACCTGTGTCGTTGTGTCCTTGCCTTGAACTATCGGCATGTAAATTAACAGAAACTGCAAAGAACCTCTCAACATAGTGAGAGGACAGGAAAAGACAACCCCACCCACTGACCCACAGCCACGCTTCATTGTGTCAATCTGTCTATTGTTTTTTGTTGTTGTTGTTGTTTTCAGCTCATTAACATCCTATACAGTTTAATTGTCTACTTCTAACATCAGTACGTGGTCACGTTGGCGTAGATTTGTGTTTTTTAACCTCTGTGTGAAATCTTTCGACATCTTGACTTCATGTGTTCCACAGAAGTGAACATGTCATACAGTACGTCACAGTGTTTTTCTTCCAGAAATAGGTGTTGATCGCCCGTGTCCACTGAGTCGGTGTGTATGTCAGTGTGAAAAAGTGTGCAACTGGTATGAGGAAGTTGTGGTCAGATCTGGGCAGCTGGGAGGGTAAGGCTTAGGGGTGTGGTGGTTATAAGAAAGAGTTAGGGGAAAAAGAAGTCAAAGAGATTTAGGAAGCACATACACCAGCAGAGGTAAACAACTTTTTAAATTCTGATAGATACTGTATATGTATAGTAATGATGTCATGTCCATTATAACTCAATTAACTTATTTTGGGGATCCGGACTTTAAAGTCATGAATTATTTTATTTAAAAAAGTAATATTTAAAACAGATTTACAAAATACAAAGGTAGAAAATATGCAAAATATGTTCGGGGTCACTTCAGAAAATGTTATCTTTGGAGTTTTGGTTGATTTTATGTTGTCTATATTCTGGATAGTCAAGTTATTTATTTAATTCTAATTAGAAGCTATCAAAACCCTTTGCTTTTTTTTTTGACTAATTTCTAGCTTTGCTCTTGGCTAATCCAAACTTTCTGGCCAGTTTGGCCAACTCTAGCCATCGTTCTACTCAATATTTACAGCTACAATGTTTGCTAATGCCAAAAGCAGCTATTTTTCAATTAACTCTGTTGCAGTATTTAAATGAATACATATCTGTTTTTATTGTATTTCAGTCCATTATCAAAATGTGCTGAAATATAACCAAATAGAATGGCACTTTTCTACTACAACAGAATGTGTTTTTGTGACTTTGTGAAACTTGTAGACGTTAAGTTTAGCATTTTAAGATAAAGCAGCTTGTTTTTGTCCACACGGGGATGTTGTGGCTTTGACCTTTATTGTGAAAGGTCTGGTTGCTAAGTATCACACACTGAGTGGCTCCCTCTGTTGTCACAGGTCAATCATGTTTCACAGCAAGATGAAGACAAACAGCATTGTTCCAGACACTAGCCATGCTAACTACGGACACATGAGAAAAACTGTGTCTCACAGTAATAACTTGAACCACAGAGTCAAAAACAGAGACAACGGTGTCCCAAAGCAACCAGAACCAGCTGTAAAACACAACCAAGAGCACAGAGAGCGCCACATGTTGGCAGTGTCCACCAACCGTGTGCAACCTAGGGGTCATCAACGTTGCCGGTCGGCTGACTTTTGCCAGTTGAGGACCTCGTCTCTTATTTTGGTGAAGAAAAACAAGAAAGAGCCTCAACTTCCTGAGAGAGGAGCATCGCTGCGTCTCCCTCCCACAACATCCTTTTCATCATTCAAACGCTACTCCTGTCCTCCGTTGGACATCTCTAGCATGCCATGCGAGTCTCTGTCCTCCTCTTCCCGGTCCTCCAGCTCCTCCAACTGCCTGTGTTACTCCTCTCCTCCTCCCCTACCGACGACAGTCATCACCGGCCATGACCCTGAAGGCTGGAAACTGCGACTCAAGCCCACTTCCACCTCCTACAGGGCCCACACTAGGAGGCTGTCTTTGCAGATCCCACTGCCTGTCGTACCTTCTGAGCCCACACCTATTTCCACCTCAACCTCCAAACCAGACCATCATCTGAGAGAAGAGGCTGAAGGGAAAACCAAACCACCTTTAAAGCCTAAACCTGTCCATCGGCACTACTCAGACTCAGCCGTGGTCAGACCTCTTCCTGCGCTGACGCTCGCGGAGCTCCGTGCTGTGTGTCTGCGTCCAGTCACTCATTCACAAGAGTCTGACAGCGTCTTCAGTGAGCCGCCCGTGGAGGACATGAAGGAGAAAACTCTGCAGAGAAAAATACCACCTCCTGTTCCAGAGAAAACCCTCATGGCCAGACAAATTGCCCGACTGATGGCACTCGCACACAGGTGCCGCACGATTATTTCAGACATGACTGAAGGAGAAAACATCTACAGCACAGTGACCAAGCCTAAACTCAGACGACCACCTCTGGTTAAGGACCCTGGTGATCTAAGGACCATAAAATCAGGCAAGTAGTCCTCTCAAAATCATCTCTCCAGTGACAGAGTGCTGTAAAAAAGACAGGTGGACATTTGAAGGTTCAGCTAAAATACTAGATGCAGATTGGAATGATAATGGAATTTTTTTTAGGATTCGAAAACTTGCAGTGTATGTTTGTCTCAACATCCAAAATCAAAATATTTGCCAATAATTTTGATACAGCAGCATCATGGACATTCAGCTGAAGTTTCCAGTTTTTGGTCTGTATGCACTGGGTTTTTTTACACAATTTTAAAAGGTGTCATCACTTGACCTGTAATAGTTGTATGTATAAGTTTGACTTTGACAATATTCCCCTACAGTTGTTTTTGTTGAACAAACGTGTTTAGTAAAAAGTAAATTAAATTCAGAATTCAAATTAAATTTGGTGAAGAGAAGTACGAGGGGAGAAAACAGTCTGGAGTTTGTTTGTAGATGCTAGTCTTTGACTCTAATTCACTTCTGATTGATTTACTGACCGATGTTAACAGGAGAGGAGGCGGAGCTTCAGAGTGTACATCGATGCTAACAAGGTTTTCTATGTTCCCGCAGAGCCACGTCCTGAGAACAGTTGCACCGTTGGCTTCTCTTGCAGAGAACTGTGAGAGACGACCCAGTAACCGACACTCGTGGCTCCAGTCAAGGCTCCTCTGCTGCTACTACAGCAGCAATAACAATGAAGAATTATCGTCCAACATGCTGCTGTGTTGTTTTTGTCGTTCTGCCTCTGCTGACTCTCTAAATGGTTGTTGTGTAAAAATGTGACTCAGCTCTTTTCAAATGTGATGTGGGCTGGTGTGTAGGAAGAATACAAGTGTGCAGATGGAGCAGTTCCTGGTGATGGAGACCATAAATTACTGCAATTTACTTTTTTACTCCAGCCTGTACAGTACAGTGTGTAAACTTTGTTCTGTTTGTCTTTGTGACCGTACGTTTTCACTGTTGGGCCTCGAACCCCCGACATTTGGCCCCTGACTGGGTTTAAATGTCGCCCTTGAGGTATATCTTCATTATTTACTTCCAATGGTGTTGATTATTATTACTTTTTAATAGCTTTAACGGGTTATATAAATATATATAAACATGTACATTTCCTGTTTTCTTTTGTTGCCCTCATTTGAGTTTGAGACCCTTGGTCTACAGTTGATACGAGTATAAACAGCCGTGTTTTTTTACTTTGTACAATTATTTTAACCTCCTGGAAAACAAACTGGTCAGCATTTGTATTGCTTACTTATTTCAAACTCTCTCTGATTGGTGAGTAATATATTTTATATTGTAGATGTGTTTTTATGTTATTTTGCTTTTTTTACTGTTAACAGATTTTCTCAGCTAACCTTCATTTTACGATAGTTTTCTGCCGAGTCATTTCTAATCAGTTTTGTTCATTTTCAGCTTATCCTACAAGTTGCCTATTTAGAAATAAAGTTTTTTTTTTTTCAAACTGCATTGATTACTGGTCCACAACACACCAGGAGTTCCCTAGTTTCAGTTTGTTGCTTTCAGTTTTGATGGACACCCACGAAGCCTCTCTACCGTCAGTCATTATAGAACAGGGGAACAGTGTGAGAAAAGATGAATCTCACTTTCTCCAGGCTGCTACTAAAACTGCCAAGAAAAGACCTGGTTCTCAGGAGAAGAAGCCATCACTGTGAAGTGGGCACAAAATCTTTAAAATAATTTATGATACTTTTTTGTCTGTACTTTCTATGGTTTTGTTATTTCTAAGAAGCCGATATCTTTGTCTGACTTTTTGAATAAGCTATCTCCAGCTCTGCTCAATTATTTCTAGAAGTTCCTTTAGCTAAAAAACTGAAATTTCAAAAAGCTGCAGACGCTCACATCCATCACTGTGGTCAATGCCAAGCTTTAAAAGCTATTTTCTTTCCTCAATGTACTTTTTATGCAAGACCTCCCTCCCTATCTCCACCAGCCTCTCAGAGATAATGGCACTATTAAATAGTTCATATTTCAGCAGAATATAAAGTGGAGAAAGTGTTAAGTGATTTTGAAAAAGAGAGAAAAGGTTTTGCAGTTAGCTGACAGAGTCTTTTGATACGAACTGCCGGACGTCAAACACAGGCTGGAAGCAGCGCTGCAGGCAGGTGATCTGCAGAGCTGCACCACATCTGACGTAAACACACAAACAAAGAGGAGCACGCCGCGTGCTCACACATCAGAAGTAGACAACACTACGTAACTTTGGCACAACTCGGGCCAACAGCACAGGCAGTCAACTTTTGTCCTCAGCAGCTCATAATTCATAATTAATAACATTAGCAACAGCTAAAATATGCTAATTAAAAAAACACAAGTCTGCAAGAAAGGAGCATCTGGCATTTTTTTGCAGTAACAGTTCATCATCAAGTTTTAAATGCAAATCCCATTCATCACTCCCTGTTGCTGAAGTCAATAATTTGACCCCAAACTACACTGTATATAATGTTAAAGTTGAATGATCTAATTTGGTGGAAACAGCTTGGAAACATGTAGGAGTGGAGGAGATGCTGCTCTGAAAGACTTCCTCAGCATCAGTGGTTCTCTATCCACAGCCTACAACCTTGACACACGCATTGTGACTGTGACAGTAAAACCATGAGGGGGCAGCACAGAGAACGCTCAGGTCTTCATTAGAATGAGGGTCAAAGGTGAAGGGCAGGTGTCATTTAGGAGTGGAGTGGTATGACTCATCTTCAGTCCAAACAGTCCTTCAGTGTGGACACGTGTCGGAGCTCGGCACACTGATTTCTATTTACTCTCTGTGTGAATCTGTGCAGCAGCAACAACAACAACAATAACCAGAACATCCTTCTTTGCTGCAAAATCCTTGTCTGTGATTTTAAGAACTTTTTCCCCAGCGTGGCTTGTGACCCCGTGTGTGTTTGTCAATACACTCAGTCCATGTGGTAATTTAAAAAAATCACGTCCGTTTTCCATCATGTTGAGACAGATTGTTCTGTGCGTCTTTCTTTGTTAGATTGTTACGTCCTCCTGTTTAAGATAGAAGCAGACCACTATGTTGAATTTATGTTAGTTCTTCAAATGTGAACGTGACTAATTGATTAGAGAGAAAACAATTAATGACCAGTTACAGAACTACTTAAGAATTTAGTGTACGAATGCACATCCAGGCTGAACAGCACTAATTAATATTGATTTAAAACAACAAAGTCAAAGCTTGACACGCGGGTGTGTGTGTTGCTGCACACTCTACTGAAGAACAGGAGTGCCCTTTGACCCCTCCACCTGGATGAACAGTGTTTTCTCCACTCTCTGTGTTTTTTTTTGCTTTAGCATCAGAGCTAAAGTCATCAAATAGAAGCTGTTAAATGTGAATTGTTTCTTTGCACACACACACACACACACATACACACACGTGTGTGTTGTGTGCTTGCAAGTGTGCTCAACATTTGCACACCCACTGACTTCTCTTCCCACGCCTCAGGTGCGACAGATGGCTGCAGATCATACCTTCATACCTGTTCTGACAGGATTGCCTGCTAATTCCTACTGGTTGGAATTAATGGGAGAATAAAGTCTCTGGAAAATGCAATATTGAAGTTATTCTAACACTTGATATCTGGCACCACCACAACACTCTTTTAATGCATTTACTATAAAGCAAATAAACAATGACAAGAGAAAAATCATTTAAGAGACAGAGTAAAGGCCTGATTGGTCCTTACCCTGATGTTGTCAAAGGATGCTTTGTTGGTGACATCATACAGAAGAAGAAGAGCTGTGGGGACAGAGGGACACACATGTCATTTTAGGTTTTAAAAAAATCCATGTCAAACAATTTAAAGAGTATATTATATACTGTTCATATATATGTGTGTGTGTGTGTGTGTGTTGTGTGCTTTTCTTCCTCTATTCTTCCTTTGTTCTACTTTTCCATTTCAGATCATTTCAAGTTAAAAACACATGCGTCTACTTATAACTTCCGTGCCTCTGGCAGTGAATAAAGTTTTAAAGCAGGAAAAACAAAGGAATGAAAATGTAGGTTAGCGCCGAAACATACTTTAGGGCTATACTGTGAGGTTTATTAAATATTTATAGATAAGTTCAGCCAGAGCTTTAGGTGTTTCACACGAGGAGGGAAAAATTGATGCAGAGAAAATTGTTCCCACCGTGAGTTGAAGTGCTGAGCTTTTCTTATTCAGCGTGGCAATTAGCAGCATCGCACCTGACAACGTAGGTGAAGGTGTGAATCCTAATTACCTCCAACCTCAGCCAGCGGAGAATTTCACCTCGGGAGTTCGGAGCAGAGGACGCGCGGTATAAACCGGCATCAGGTTGTAAAGAAATCCCATTGCACCTACGGAGGTGAGCCTGGCTAATGTTCTGAGCTGGATCACCTCACCAGGACAGGTCATTCCCACTCCCGGTCTCCTACTTCCTCCTCCAGTACATCCAGACCCATTCATCTTTACTAACAAGTACACAGCACTCTCCATCTCAGGTCAAATTCAAGCACTTTTCAAGCACTTTCAACGTCTATTTCCAAACCTTTCCAGCCCCCTGGTAGCTTTTGGCTGTTACTCACCATAAATCTGATCTAGTTTGACTTTGTTGTGATTAGCTTAAAGCTCTTCTGAGGCAAGCATTTAGTTTGTTTTTTGCAAAAGTTTCCATCAATCATACAGACTCTCCGCAACTCAGCTACATGCAACCAACTTTTCACCAATGAATTTCACATTAGCTCCTGCACATGTGTTTGTCATTCAAGCCCCTGGTGGCTGTTTAATGAACTTGTGATGAAATTACACAGAGAGGGAGGAGAAAAGGAGAGAAAGATGGAGGAGGAGGAATTAAACCCTGGTCAAATACCACAGCTCCTTTAACCCAGTTACATCAGATGCTGAGAGAGGAGAAAACAAACAAATCTGATGAACTTTCTCACAGGGCTTTTCTCACAGGTATAAACACAGTTGCTGTGAAAAAGAAAAAAAAAGGTGGAGGAAAATAAGGTGAAAAAATGAAGAAAAGTTGAGTGAGAAAAAAAAAACAGACAACACTGTGATCTCACAGAGAGAGAAGGTTCAGTGAAAGGCTGATGCAGAGCTGGAAATTATCAGCACACTGTGTCAGACAGGATTCAAAATCCACACAACAAAGGATTGGTAAATAAATCAAATGAAAATATGAGGGTTGTCAGATTACAAATGGAAGAGCAGAGGGCTACAACAACCCCTTTATGCAACCTGCCGTTAATTAACAGCATCTACATTTATAACTACCGCAGGTTCAACTCCCTCAGAGGTAAACGCTGAGGAGAAACTGTTGATAGAGGGCTACTTCAAGGTGAAACAAACATCTTAAAGTTAAAACACAAATAGCTCCAAAATACCATGGAAATAAAACACGGAATATTCTTCTCTATATTATTCTGTATATATTTGGAAATTTCAAATTCTTAGCTATAAACTACATTTAACTAATACATTAACTTAAATTAATTAAACAGCAATTAAAGAAATAAAAAAACGTTTTACCATTTAACTTTAATTGACCTTAAACATTTAGGCATACACAAAACAGTTTTATTCTTGTTTGATTCTACAGGGAAAAGGACAGAGTTAATAATTATATTTTCTTTTGCTGTAGGAACGACAAAAACCAAAAAACAAACATCTGACCTCGAAAAAAGGAAAGAAATTACTGTAACTACAACAAAGGATGGAGTGAAAGTTCAGAAAATTGCAAAATATGATTATTAATGTTGTTGTTTCCCAAATTTACCAAGGGTGAAACAAGAAAATAGAGCAAAATATCAATAAGATGTTGCACTCAAATAAATTGAACCCCAGAAAACCTTGGTTTTATTTTCAGACACACATACTCTAAGTTGAACTCTGGTGGGTGATCTGAAAATGATGCCTTAAGTTTGACACATGTAGTAGGACTAGCATCTGATGTAAAACAATGAACCACTAACCCTTCTGTTGTGTAGTCACAACAACCCCTTTATGCAACCTGAAACCTTAATTAACAGCTTCTACATTTATAACTACCGCAGATTCAACTCCCTCTGAGGTAAACGCTGAGGAGAAACTGTTGATGAGTTGATGTAAGGCTCCAGCCTCAGGAGTTGAGGTTCAGCACTCAGAGCTCAGCTCCGACCAAGGTGTTTAGAAGCCTCTCCTGGCACGAGCGTGAATGAAAATGTGAGTTATGACAGATGCTGGAATTAAAATGCGGTTTCCCACCCGCTGATTTGCATTCAGACTCAAGAAGGTTGCCAGAATTCTCCATCAGGTTGAAAATTGCAGCCAGCGGGTCGTCAGCAGTGACTCGTCTGCCTCGTTAAAGGTGGCGATGACTACAGGCCGTTAAGAAAAGCAAGGAATGAAATGTTTACGTCGTCTTCGTTTCTACCGTTTAGAGAAGTTGCCGTTGCAGCACTGTAGGGATAAACAACGGAGGAGCGCGACGTCACCACCACCAGTGTCTCATCCTTCACGATCAATCCCACAGCTCCCAAAGGGTTCCCATTCTGTGAATCCAATACTGTCAAAAGGCACGAGGACATTTCCCCGGCGTCCACACAGGGGCCGCTAAACCCACTCATACATGAGACGGTTGTGAGAATAAAGATGCAGAGCAGAAAGACTGAGGTTTGAAGGTGTGATGTTGAACAGAGTGTATTAACTCCCATGAGCCTCCTCTCAAAGGTGGCTTTGAATGTGACCTTGGAAAGCTGTGTATGTGCTTGTACTCTATGAGGACACACAGTATCTGGTTTTAGGTAGTTTGGAGTCAGAAAGAACTTCAGTGTCAGAGGTCACTGTGATTCAAGACATACTCTATAAAATAAGGTCATTTTTAAGTTGTTGGTCTAATTGGTGTCTGGGTCTTGAACAGCGTCCCACTCGCTAAATCTAGCCACTCGTGGGTGATGTGCTGGCTGTCCATCAGTCCATAATAAGAAAAGCTTTTCAAGAACGTCTGAATTTTTTCCCTCATTATCCTCATTTTTAATGACTAGAAAATGGACCATTCATTTTCCAGGTTTTTTAGGACCCGTGTGGAGCAGGTCCTGAAAAGTACCATAGGACTGTTTGTCTTACAATCAATGTCTCCTGTTGCAAAGCGATAAACAGGAAGACTTATACAGGTCTACACCCACTAACCCTCCAACACAGAGTGAGGCAGCGTTACCTGAACACAAACTCCACTTCCTTTTCCTCTAATTACTCTTCTTCACGTGCCGCCCATCAACTGCCAGACTCAGTTCTTGCACTAATTGCGCTCTAACCTTTTATTCTACCTTCACTGTCTCCACATAAGCTGATTTGTGCCGCTTGTCTTTTGTCTCCACAGTAATTTCAGGCCTCAGTCAACCTGGGGAGCACTTGTGTTTGTGAGTCTCGTCCTCTAACGGCTCTTTTCCTCTGGCTGTCCTGTCGTCCTTTCTTGGTTTGATGGATTCATTTATCGCTCCTCATCTATTTCCCTGACTCTCCTCTTCGTCCTGTCTGGCCTGGAATTTTTTTTTAACTAAATCGTGGTTTTTGAAACTGGAACACTGCAGGTTTAAGTCATAAGTTCCAGATGCATACCACACTTTCAGGTCAAAACATTAAATGTGACCCATTCTTTACCTGCACCACATTCAGACTGACTCCCAGCTGCCCCCTGTTGTTACTTTCTCTTTGCTTCCCCTCCTTTATAATGGTTCACTACACGCTGAGGAAATGACAGGCTTCTGTTCAGGAGAAGAAGGTGGTCAGGACCCAGCTGGACACTCGCAGCGCCCTCTATACCAGATGGGCCGGGTGGACTGCACAGAGCCCGCTGCAGCAACTGGCTCATTTGTACTGAACCACCATGCTCTCCCATTAATGGCTTAATGACAAGTCAGGACCTGGGCCAAAGACGAGTAAAACAAACAGCAGGGCAGAGCAACACTTCAGTCAGATCCTTGACTCTGTCAGTTAACATCCAGCTAATGAGACCAACGCATTCTCTTTGTTTAAACAATAAAAAAAGAACTGTGTGGAGCTGTGGAAGTGTTGCTGCGTTGACTCAATTAAACTAACAGATGAATGGCAGTAAACTGTGGCGTCACATAAATCCAGTCCTCTGCAGAAAGTGATTCATACGTTTTTAGCAAGCGCCATCTGCAGGTGATAAAACATCAGTAACTCAACATCTAATTGAGAGAGAGTGGATACATTTGTGTTTATTATTAAATTGACTTTATGAAGGTTGTCTCTTTTAAAATGATAAAATCGGAAGTCAAACATTAAACATCTCTAGCGATGTTTATGGACAAAAAAAAAAGTAAATCTACAGTTACTGTACCGCATCAGTTAGCTACAGTTACTGTACCGTTTCCAACGCATTCTCTTTGTTTAAACAATAAAAAAAGAACTGTGTGGAGCTGTGGAAGTGTTGCTGCGTTGACTCAATTAAACTAACAGATGAATGGCAGTAAACTGTGGCGTCACATAAATCCAGTCCTCTGCAGAAAGTGATTCATACGTTTTTAGCAAGCGCCATCTGCAGGTGATAAAACATCAGTAACTCAACATCTAATTGAGAGAGAGTGGATACATTTGTGTTTATTATTAAATTGACTTTATGAAGGTTGTCTCTTTTAAAATGATAAAATCGGAAGTCAAACATTAAACATCTCTAGCGATGTTTATGGACAAAAAAAAAAGTAAATCTACAGTTACTGTACCGCATCAGTTAGCTACAGTTACTGTACCGTTTCAGTTAGCTACAGTTACTGTACCGTTTCAGTTAGCTACAGTTACTGTACCGTTTCAGTTAGCTACAGTTACTGTACCGTTTCAGTTAGCTACAGTTACTGTACCGTTTCAGTTAGCTACAGTTTTCAGTTAGCTACAGTTACTAGTTAGCTACAGTTACTGTACCGTTTCAGTTAGCTACAGTTACTGTACCGTTTCAGTTAGCTACAGTTACTGTACCGTTTCAGTTAGCTACAGTTACTTTAGTGCTACAGTACTGAAGGACAAAGGACGTTTGGCCACAAATAGTTCTAAAGCGTCCTGCGTGCAAGGACGGAGTTTGTGAGCTAGAACAGGGTTGAGACATCAGAACTCAGGCTGGACGGACGGCCTGTCCTTGATCCAACCCCTCTATAACTCAACTTAACAGGTTGAGTTATAGAGGAATAAAAATATGCTAAGGTTGATTTCCCAACAAAACATTTTTCATCGGCCACCATTATTATTTCATCACTGGGAATTGATTTTTGAATACATCAATGAAAGCCCTCGCTATTTGTGTCTTGAAAATATTAATTAAATTAATTTTATTTATGGAACTGTTTCCTTTACAATGAATCATGTTTATGATACAGATCCAAGACAAAAAGAAACTATTTTTCTTTTCTCCCTCCACTCCCCCCCGACATATTGACTCCCACCTGCTATTACTCAGAACACTCTCATCAGCCAATTGGCAAATTGCAGAGCGTGACTCATTAGTTCACAAGTTTTGACAGCCTTTCTTGACAGCTGTATTTGACCTGAAGCCTGCCTCCTGGTGCTGCCTGTCAGAATGAATGAGCTATAGTAGAAAGGCAGCAGCAGACGGACAACAGCCAGGAGGAGGAGGAGGAGGAGACGATGCTCTCAGACTCTGTGGGTGAGTTGTTGAAGATCAGCAAGGGTTAACTGTAGCACTCACAGAGATGAGTCGCTCTGGAAGCTAGCCAAGCACACACACACACACACACGTAGACATACACACAGAGTACCTAATACATTCTATAGCTCTGATGTTTAAAACCACAGTTCTTTCAAAGACCAAACAGCCTGATCTGTGATGTCACAGGAGACTTTGACCTATCACGTGACGGTTTCTTTTTTTTTTTTCATTTAAAGTCATTTTGATGCAACTACTGCAACTGTAACATCATAACCAACCTATGACATAAATGTTCAACATGAACATAAGTAACAGTTGGTTAGCCTAGTGCCATCTCAGTGACTGAGATGTGATTGTATTTCACCTAAATGGTTTTGAGTATGCTGCAAAAAAACAACAACAAAAAAAAACAACATTCAAGGCTTAGCCAGTTTTTCTTTTTTTTTTAAGAACTATTTAATTTTTAGTAAAACTGACTGTGACAGCCTGATCAAATAGGTTGGAGTTTGGAGAGAATTCTTCTGACATTGTATCCTATATCAATAGAATTCTATATCCTAATATTCCTCCAATAATCATGTGTCCTTTATCATCATAAGAAGGGGACAAATTGAATCAGATATCCAAATAGATTTGGATATCTGCTAAAACAATTCAAAGTCAATGGTGAAAAATGAAATGGAGCTGCTCCAGTGTTTAGATTCTGACATCTAAAGAAGCAGTGTTTTTTTTTGTTTGTTTATCATTTAACTATAAAAAAACCATAAAAGCAGCAAACATCACAGATACATGGAATAATGAAAAACATATTCATTATTCGTATATCTACCAACCAGCGAGCGGAAAACTAAACTTCAGTCTAAAAACTTTTGTTTGTTGTCATTGTCCCCAATGATTCTGATTCTGCCCCTCACTCTCTGTACACAACGGTACCAGAACACACATACAGAACATTCACAGCCACCAGCAGCTACGATGCTACGCTATATGCTACTGAACACTTTCAAAGTCAGAATAATGCATGTGAGTGTGTGTTCCACCGGCTCATTCAGGTTGGCCTGGGGCACACACTGCTGTTTATATTCACAAAACACACACACACACACACACACTTGCTGGAATTACTTTTTACCTAGCTCCACACAAAAGCCGCCCCCCC